CTTTTCAAGCGGTTTGTTGTCATTTTGCCATCTGCAGACCAGCATGTCCAGTACAATGTGGTGTATTCACGGAGCCTCTTTGGCTTTCTGAACAGAGAGAGACCCTTTTCTCTTGCTTCTCGCCCAATTCAGGGCTTTCTTCTCCCTTTTAAGTGGGCTGTTGATGAGGTTAGTCTAATCAGATTAAGTCAACTCACATTGGTCTCTGCAGTTTGTTTTCCTTCCAAAGGCGTCCTGACATCTCCTATACTTTTTCTTTATCCTCCTCTTTGCACTTTTCATCCAGGCTTCCACCCAAAAAAACCTTTTCAGCAGAGGTCCCAATGGACTCCTTTATAAACCGCAGTTCCCCAATGATATAGGTTATTTAGAATGGGTCACTAGACTGCTATACATGGGAAAGGCCTTTAAAGTTGTGCAATGACGCATTTGGACATTTCCACTGGTGTCTGTGTGAGTGCCAGAGATTAGGTAAACACAAAGCACTAAATCAAATTTTGGAAATGGCTGGAACCTTTAATTTGATTCCTAAATAAATGTTTGAGGGATGTTTTGTAAACTACAAGGCTAATGCAATCTCCACCTTTATGTAGACTCTTGGAGGAGAGTAGTGTTTTCACGGCCAACTTGTTAAATTGTTCTTAAGAGAAATTAATACACTTTTATTGTTTAAGTATCACAAGATGTGACTGTTAGAAACAGTGGATTAAAAAAACAATAATTGCCCAGTTAAATCTTTATATCCATTTTGTGTTTTATCTTAAAAAAATCCCTCCAAAGCTCCATTGTCAAATGAAAACATACATTGTTGTGGGTATTTTCTATTCATGACAAACTATCTTTTGGGAAGAATATCTGTAAACCATGGCATTCAAATATAAAAATTTATTTTTTGACAAATGTCTATAATCTTTAGTTAGATATGAGTGCATTTTTTTTCTCAGAGTTTGACTTTGTTGTTTTGAACTATTAATATCATGAACTACATGATCCTACTACAACTACATCGCCTACATGATCAAAATAAATTTGATCAAAAATAACAAGAAGATTGTTTGGATTGTCATAAATGATGTGGTGTGACACAGATGCATAATCACACAATTAATTATATCTGTGTCCTTGATCAAGAACTCTAAATAATTCACTTTTAAACATGTTTAGTAATTGGAGAGAGACATTAAAGGAAGCAAAAGTTTGGAAAGTCCCTGAAATCAGTGAAATCAATTATTTTTCTTGAAATTTGATTAGATTAATATGCACAGATGCCCAGTTAAGAATATGCCCCCCACGTGCAACTGTAAAATCTCTGAAGTTCTCATCAGTGGTGTGCCGTAACTTGATTCCCCCACTAATAACAGACTTACAAAGACAATGAGCACAATGAATACAGAGGAGGTCTTTTCAGATGACTTCAGAGCCCCCCCCCTGAGAAAAGACATGGCAGCCCACTGACTGAATGGGGGGCTGTAGAACCATTTCAAGCTAATGGATCTGAGAGACTGTCCACATAATTACATTACAGCATTTCAGCAGCCCTTTGAGCTCCACACTTGCAGCTTGGGCACACCACAGCACTTCATTCATATCATGGCTCCACAGTGGAATGTGCTATGACAGATATGGCCCTCTTGGGTACTCTTGAACAAGGTTGCGCCCCATGGGACTGGCAACCCCCTCATCCCTCTGCATACAAGTTCTTGGATTTAAAACAGAGGGTGGGCACTGCAAAGACAAAGGATCAAACGTGGAGGGCAAAGAAAATCTAAAAAACGTCTTAGTGTCAACAAAATTATGTTTGAGTGCAACAATATGCATATTTTCCCGTTAACCTTGACTTGTTCCGTTAATTTTTCTCACTAGTTTTCTTTACACGTGAAATATAACACATTTCACAGTTTATTACATAACATGTTTACACTTTGTAAAAGATATCATGGAGCCAAAAACATTTTTAATAATGACAAAGGCTAGCTAACTGACATGCAGGGTATGTGTAAGTGTTTTCCATGATATAATCTGGTTTGGCTCCAGTCCGGCTCACACAGTTAGCTGCTAATAATAATAACATCAATGCTTATGGTTTAGTTTTTATTTAGCTGATATCTTTCTGTGACTTTGCAAACAATTGTGGTAAAACAAAAAAAATGTGTTTTTGCGAACACTAAAAGAAAAAAACTGTTTTCAAGTTTTTCCTTTATACCAAAGGTTGCAAATAAGCAATATACACAGAAAAATCAGGCAGAAAATCAGCTTTTTTATCTCTTTTGGTTTAAAGTGAGTTTGTGTCTAATCCATTCCAGCCAAACCAAACACATGTAAAAGGAGAACAAGATCTTTCACTGGCAGTGTTGAATGACCCTAAATAAGTCAAACCGGCGAACACAGAGCAGAAAAGGACACATTTGCCGCTTCATTAACATACCGCCTCCTCAATCAGTTTTGATTTATAAAGAACTTCTCCAACCCTTCACAGGCCAAATTATTCAAATTTAGACTGATGTTTTTCTCAATTTGTGACCAAAAGCGTAAATGCCACACAAAAGTTGCAGTCAACCTATGTCTACTGACCAAGTGGAAAATCCCTCAAACTAATTTAACACAAAGCGACAATTTTGAGATTTCCCTCCTTGATAGCCATATTAAAAGATGTCACTGATCTCTTTGTTCAGTTTTGTTGGTTGAAGAAATGCTTTGCTCTCTAGTTCTTCTGAACAAAAAATGACTCCTTTTGTGGAGGAGCAAAATCAATGCAAATTAATCCTTTATTCATTTCCCCTGTGAATAGTTCAAGACTTTTGTTTGGGGCCCGTGAGCTAAACAAAATCATAAGAAAGGTGGAAAATGTGAACGTTTATTGGCCAATGGAAGAGAGAGATGACCCCTCTCATGGGTGACAAAGACTCCTTTATGGCGTTGGTGTGAACCCATGAAGCAAGGGTATTCCACTCTGGCTGACCAGCACCACAGGAGATCCAACACGTGCAAAAATGGTGACCCAGTAAAACCAACTCTTTTTACATCCATAAAGGAGGTTAGAGAACCAAAAGAAGCCTTAATCTTTGCCCATTCTGAGGGACGAGGTGATCGGCAGAGAAGGACAGGCTGCAGACTGTCGTGGACAAATTTATAATCAACTTTTTATTATCAACAGAGGAAACTTTCAAAAATGTGTGCTTCTTTCATAAAATGAAGATAAATATAACCCTGTGCTGACAGCAATGTTGGGAGTAACGTGTTACAAAAGTAACGGTATTGCAGTAACAGTAATGTATTAATTTTGCTGTAACACAGTAATATAATGCATTCTAAAAAAAAAACTGGTAATATTATACCCATTACAATCTCAGTTACGTGCGTTACAACACATTTTAACACGAAATTATGTGGTGTTTTGTTTTTCTAATTAACCAACACCAAACATTTTGGCAGCAGAAAAACAAAACCATGAGTAAAAGAGTAACGTTATATTCGTTCTGTGGGAATCCGATGGTCAAGATTGTAGGCAGGGTGCAAACTACAGCGGAGCTCGGCTCCTCTTAACAAGCTGGTAGCTCCCCTAATGGATTATGCATAAATAGATTTCTATAAGCTATATGTTTGTGCTTTAACAAATTACTTTCATGATTAGAGAGGCCGCTGTCAGCTCATCCTGACCGATGACAAAGACCCACCAGATCAGCGGATAACTCTGCACATCACTAGAACCCACCTATTCAGGCACATCTTACTATCACTAATAATAGGCCCATTAAATAGCAGTGAAAGTAACTCAAAAGGGAGCTGCATGAAATCTGTTGAATGGTCTGAGGTGAAGGTTGAAAAAGAAAAAATCTGAGGGTGTAGAGAGTTAGAAAAAAGTGAGCTTAGTGCTAAATTAGCCACTACTACCAAAACACCTGTTGGTGGCCACGTTGCATTGTGGGTAATGTAGGTGATGCGCTTTGACAATGAAGAAGAGCCAGAAGAACAGATTTTACTCTGAAAAAGACAGGACACTGACTAAATACACACAAATCACTTTCCACCACTTTGAGAGCAAGAGATGCTGACTTTGCAAGACACTGGTAGAGTACCGATCCTGAGCTCAGCACATTCCTTCACAAGGCCAGAGGTAAAACAAAGGACACAGACTTGCACGGCAAGTTGCTGGGATTGTTTTATGTCCATAGTACAATGACAAAGAAAACGATTGTGCATGTTGGTAATTGCTAAAATCATCTGAATGGAGCAATGACCAGCATCCACAATGGTTGAACCAAGTGGCATTGGTTTGTGACGTTTACACATTTGTGGTCACCTCCAACATCATCCCATCATCAAAGTCCCCTCTAAACCCCAAACACCACTGCCATTTCTTTTCCCTCTGATGTGGAGATTCATACACTTCACAGCACGTACCCTCCTTTTAACTTTTATTTTGGGCCAAACATTGCGGACAGGACAATTTGTGTGTTTGAAAACACCATGTATCAATCACATCAAAAGCCCAGGAGACAAAGGCAGAGGCTGGCAGCACCAGACAAACATTCCCATTAGTCACTGCACTCTCTTTCTCGTGTATCACATTGCAGACGAAGGAGGGGTTGTTTACTCTGGAATATCACACTGTAAAGGCAAAGAGACCCACCGCCTGGCACATTCAATAAGCACGGAAACAAGTGGACTACTGTGTAGTCAATTACAATAAACACAGATCAAAGAGCACAAAATGGACTTCTGTTTTATACTGCACCATGTGGCACAACCTTTTTCCTTACAATGCCCTCACACTCGATCTTCCCACACTCACATACAAATTCACTATTAATGGGGTCTGAAAAGTGTGATTTTCAGCTCTCCCTCTTGTGTTTCTCTTCCCTGTCCCATCCCCAGCCCCCTGCCTGGTGCTGACCCAGCCAGCAGACCCCCTCCGCCCCCTTCTGCTGGCCCCCTCCAACCCTGGGAAGAAGGGGCCCACGCCAGAGCTTTGAGTGGGGCTCATTAGCAGCGCCCACCTGGAGGCTGGCTGGGGGCTAACAGAGGACCATGGGGGCCAAGGCCTTGATCTGTTGGCCGTGAGCAGCAGTGTGACACACAGCGGGGACGAGGCTGCTGCAGCATAGTATACAGTACAAAGCACCATCAGATATCCAGTATGCTTCAACAATCCTGAGTTGATCAAGCCTAATCTGTTTAATTGTTCCCTCAGCAAAGGCACACCTCTCTCTGTTAACCCACCCTTTCACCAATTTCCTCTCATGGAAGTCAGACAGAAAATTTGATGTTTACTGTTTGTGTTGATGGTATCACTGCAGTAGAAACAGTCTGTAAAACAATTATGGAGATGACCTTTTGTGTACACCTTCTTTGAAGTCCAGCCACCTTATGCAAATTCAATATCTCATCAGCAGCTGAGTGCTTCTTCATCCTCTTCAAAATCGCACCCTTGTTTGGTGGTGGTGGTGTGTGGGGGGTGTTGTTTGGTGCAAATCAGTATTTACTCTGTCAGTTGCTGGTATGGGGGTGAGGCTGAGGTATGCTGGTGTGTCTGCATGTAATACACCAAAGGTCTGGAGCCCCTGCAGTCAGATGCCCTGGGTCTGGGGAGACACAAAGGGATTCCACTGAAGGAATAGCGAGTCTCCTGAGTCATGTGGCTCCAGTCGCACAGACTGCATCTAGGGATTCATGTCGCTGTTTGACGCCACAGTATCTAAACAACAACCTTTCCAAAGGAATTTAGCTTTGGAGTTGCATACATGCATATAGTGAATTTTTCAAATAGTTTCACATGATGGTGTTTTACTGAGGATACCGTAAACTGTTTCACTGAATACATCCGCCCCTTTTAAACAATATAATTGATAATATCAGTTAAGTGACAAAAAACCACCCATTATTGATCATGATCGTTATTTTTCAACAGGAAAATATTTTAATGATGTTTGTAAGATGTCCATCAAGAAATTGTCTTTGGGTATTGCCCTGCATAGCCAGACTCTACCTGATCCATTATCTAATTCATGCCATTTGTATTTGTGAAGGTATTTTTCTCTTCATCAAGTCAATTTTTATTGTTTGGTAAATCATCAGCTACCATGAGAGATTTACTCAGCTATACTTTCTTTTGGATTGTCTAGCTTGTTTACAAGACACTGAACAACCCCCAAAACAGTTCATGTACAGTTCCACAAACACAATTAAGAAGACACTGAAGTAGCTGCCATATTTTTTAACTTTAAAAAAAAACTTTCTTTCAAAAACAGAAATCTCCTCATTAAAATGTCACTTCGACATTGCTTTCCGACGACCGAAAAAAAACTTGGACTCTGTATTTTTTAAATTGCAGAGACAGGAGAATGAAATTTGTATATCTGCCTCAATTGGTTGGACCAAGAACCTTTGTCTTCATTACAATGATGCTGTAATATTTTATTCTGTATAGTAAACACGCCTGAAAGTAGGTGGTATTGTCCACTCAGTTAGCATTCATTTGCTTTGCAAAATTCGTTTCCATTAAGAATCATATGCACTTAAATTTGTGTTGAATGAAACAGTAGGGAGGATATCATGGTTTTAGCAGTCTTTGAAACACTTTAAGCTACAAAACATGAGCTAGCTGTGGCCCTTAGGCTCTGCTCCCTCAGATCCTTGGTCCTGGGTCAGCACTGTCAGGTGAAAGAAACCCCAGAGAGCCATCACATACCTATAAATCCAATACATTATATCCAATGCTAGCAAAGACATTTACAGAGTCAGGTAATCCAGGTAGCAAATTTTGAATCTGGTTTTAGATACGTTTGTTTAAAATTCTCTACAATCAATGATGAATGCAAACCTTCTGAAAACAGTCCTGCGTTATAATGAGCATTTGGACAGATCAAAGAGGAAGAGTCTGGGCTACTGCTGGTGAATATGGACAATGGATTGGTCATGATGGCTGGTAAATCTCAGTCACAGACCACCACATCAAGGACAATTAGCATTAGCTTGACTCTCCAGGCTCACCCCTTAAGCAGGATGAAAAAAGTGACCTGCTGACTAAGCACATTCCACCTGCAGCCTGCAGTTCAAAGGGCTCCCATGATGGTCACCCTGTGCACCTCACTGCTCCTCTGCTATCCAGCCACCACCTACCCTGAGGCAAAGCTCACCCTCCTCCACACCGTGGGTGACCCGGTGCTCCATCAACAACATCCCGAGCCATTCACAACACATGGAACTGCTGACCGCTAGCTGAGCCGCTACCTGCCAGCTAAGTGCCTCAGGTGATGTTTCAATGGGCTTCACTTAAGAATTAGCTACACCTCTCCCCCCTCAGAAAGGAGGCATGAGGGAGGCAACATATGGCCGACTCAGATGAATTCCCCTACTGTTTCAAAAGGCTCTAAGGAGCCTTCAGGGTGATCGGAACGTCACGCTCCTCTTTACTAGATTAAGTCTAATAATCTCCCAGTAACGAGACTTTAAATCCAGAGCGGTAAAACACTGGGCCCCAGGGTTCACTTACACACAGTGCATGCTGTTTTCCCTTTAACACTTTATTTTATGACTGCAAGTAAGAGTTAATGCTCCTCATCAACTTTCCCCTCTTCTACGAGCAAAGAGGAAGATTTGTTGATATCAGGCAGGGATTCCCCAAATGCAGGTTTGATGTATTGAATTGTGGAATCTTGAATCTGTGGGGCATAGCTAAAAAGTACATATGTGAATGCTGGTGTTAGAGGACCAGACGATGACAGAACAAATTGAGTCTACATATGAGTATGTGAGATGACTGGAAAATTCCAGTTTATTCCAACTTTTGTTTCAATGTGTTTTCCCCTGTCTCATCCTCCTTTGTGCGTCTGTGTGTTTGTGTGTATGTGTTGTGGGCGTGCCGTACCTTCCTGGCACCTGGCTCATCTCCTCACCTGACTCAAATCAACTGCAGCTCTCCTGCAACTCGTTGCCAGATTGTTTCTTCTCCTTTGTGGTACAGTGTCTCTCCAATTTATTTTAGATTCTCCAATTAAAGAGAGAGTTAGTGATTCTGCAGAAGGATTGTTGATATTTTAACTCAACTGCCAAACAAATACAACTTTCATCTTTGTTTTTACCCTTCAGACTAGGGCTGTCCTGAGTAAGGATTTACATAGTCGAATCAGAATTGTCATATCTTGCCTATAGTCGAATCATGTGTATGCTTGTGCACTGCGATTGTGAGTGGCAGGGTGGTTACACACGATAGCTCCCCTTTAATCTTGAGAAGCTGCAGCGCTGCAGTCTCTATTTAGTCAGTGTAACTTACACTGTACATTTCCAGCTAAAATGAGGCTTTTTGTTGACCATTTTCTCTCTGCTGGCATGCCATTCACCGGCCTTGTGCAGAGTTTTGTATGCACGCTGTGCGGTCGACACACGTCGCGGTTCCTCGCGGCTATTTTAAGTAACTGGTTAAAAACGATATAATATTCTTTATGAGGTTCACCGTTGATGAACCTCACAAAGATCCCACGAAGTGCGGACAACTTTGCACAACACTGGTGAAGTTGGGACTCCGTCTCTTCAGTAAATGTTTCTATGCCATACACACTATGCCTACACATAGGCACTGACTCCCCTACCTTGAGAGTTAGGGTTATAATTTTGGATTTATTCACGCACTTTAAAAACTTTACTAAAAGTATTTTTCTTTTCGCATGTTTATTTACAGCGTTAAATGTTGAAATGTATATTGTAATAGGCTGATATTAACTTATTAGGAGAAATCTGATAATTCTATGTAAAATCAGACGTTGAGCACCCCCATATCGCCAAAATGGTATGATCCTCGTTTCGCTGTGAAGCTTCAACTGTGAGATTGACAGTCGAATCAGGCACCACCCACCGAAGCATTGAATCGGGGTCAGCCCTACTTCAGACCTTTTCCTCTCTGGATGTTTCTCAGTCATCTCTCCTTCTTCACAGTGCCTGGAGTCCAGCTGTTCGAATGTGCCAGTGTATAGAACTCTCTCTCCCACTGCCCCCCTCCTCCCATCACTCCTGTGAACGAGCACTGACGGCACCTTTTGCTGATTGGCTGGAACGATGTTGTGGGCAAGGTCCACACCACTTTCTTTGTTTTCCATTTACAGAGCCAGGGCTGTTTTGGAAACCCAGATTCTTTTTTCACAGCACACAAAAAACAAAGAGCTAGAAAACCATGAGCAAATATTAGCTGAATTTAACAAAAAAATACATGGGATTAAAATCACTTAATATTGCCTTAACTTCCAGTGAAACTTCAAGTGTGTTTTTGTGACTTTTTCCTCATGCCTTTTTAGCTTAGGTGTGTTTCTCCTTTGCCTCAGGATTCCAGTACCAGCGTCTTTGTTTCACCATTCACGACTCGCTGCCTCAGCTCAACTTCCACCATACTACACCTTCAGCTTGCCTGCCTTCATACTGTCTGCCTAAACATACTGTAATGCTGTAGCTGCCACGAGCAGATATTGTAGGCCTATTACAAAATCTGATATTTGGCAAAAAACAAATAAAATGTGTTTTCAGTGATATATTTGACTGATTCAGTATGTACATTTTTGAGACTTTCAAGAGACTTCCTGAAATGAAAGCGAGAAAATATGATGATATAATGCAGTCAAAGTTGAACCACAAAGTCAGTCAGAACTTCTTTACAATGTTTATGACTGAAAGTAAGAGAAGAATGTTCAACTTTGACAGAGAAGTTTTCTGGACTGAGCTGTCTTGACGCTAGCAAGAATTAATCCCTATATCCCAATGACAATATCACATAATTTTGTTAGACTGCAAAGCTTGAATACGATAGCACAAAACTTCAAAGGTGGAGTAAATGATCCTGGAGAAATCCAACACCATGAAAAATACCATGAAATACAGCGAACAATGACACAGCAGGTAATATATCAAATGTTAGCTAAGTTGTGGGTTAGCATACTGCCGCTAAAGTTGCTGCTGCAAATCTAACATGCAGAGAGGAGGAGACACTCAGGACACCAGCTCCAAACAGCGATACAACTCTCCTGCAACAGACTACTGTTTAGAGACCCCCCAAAATTTCACAAATCATGTTTTTGGGAGAGCTTGAGCCAAGCTCGAACTGAAATGGCTGAAACAGTGTTGTGTGGTGGGGTGCGTGCCACTTTTTTTGTTTGCTTGTCATTGTGAGTATTTTGCATTAAAAACAGCAAGGCAGTCTAGTAGCAAGTTATCAATCCCCAACCCATACTGACATAAGGGCAACAAAGCCCCTGGTAACTTTTCTAGGGAATTACTATGGAGTTCACAATGAAGCAACGACTCCCACTGGAGTGTTGATTAGGTAGATGCCTTCACTGGGCTACAGGACCGAGTGTCAGGCCCGTCTCCTGCCCTCCAGGGACTCAATTTATTCATTCACTGTAATCATGGCGGCCCCCGACACTGCACGAGATGCTGCACACTCTCTCCTCTCTACGCATTTAATTTGGAGCTGAAGCAGCGGAGGCAGGAAGGAACCCCATCGAACACAGATATTGTGTGGGGTGGCCTTAAGAAAATTCACTCTGAAATCAGAATTCACATGTTACACAGAAATCAGGCTTCTTTTGAGTCATGATCATCAAGGTCTTTCTGGAGCTGCTTCATTGGTAGTGAACTAATATTAAAAGGACTCAGCACTGTTATTTGTTATGTCCCCTTAGGACAAAGCAAGTTCTATGTATGACCCCCTACGGTAGGTATCCTGGAGTAGTCCTGAGCAGTTCAACCAAACAATGGCTGTCTATTTGCAATGTGTTTCATTTGAATAGTTTATGGAAGCCTGAAGGGCTAATACTATGCAGTTTCCACACAGAGAGGAACAATTTTGTCAGAAGTCAGAAAAAATAAACATTTAATGTGAGAGAAGTTATTATATAATCTCATGAGCCATACTAGTTTTGAGAGAAATTATTACCCCCTACCCCAGATAAGCGGATGAAGATGCAGATGGAAATGGTTCTACACTGAAAAACATGCTGAAGATAATGGCATTCCAGTCTGGAGGCAACCAAGATCTCCACACCAGGAAAAGGGACCAAAACAACGTTTCTCGGCTTGACGGTGTCTCTTCCGACCTTATGCCAGACAGCCGACTGGAAATGCCAGGAATGCTAGACTGCTGCTCGATAGGAGACCATGTTCCACTTATTGGCTACTGGTGGGAAGAGCCACGGGGACAATGTCCAAGATGAGTTCCCACACAATAGGAACAAGACATTTATGACTCTTCGGCCACGGAAAAAATGGAAGGTTCACACTCAGGACACTCACAGCTCTCGTACTCCCACCGACACACTGGGAGAGATGCTGCCCTGAGCAGTCAAAGCTCACATTTTTGGGCTGTGTCTGAAAGGCCAAAGAAAAGGTCTCCCCTGAATCCAACCAGGCTGTCCCATTTGGGGTGATTTAAATGGCCTGTTATTGCCTCTCTCAGCCATTGTCTCTACTGGCATCCCAGTCTTATGATAGTTTTAATTATTAGTTTCACCAACACTCAATGGACAGGGGCCAGAAGAATCCTGACTTGGTATTTCAGTGGCACGTAAACATTAGTAGTGATAACCCAGGCAACCAAAGTGATATATTCAGACTCACATGCGCCAAGTAAGGCAAATTTAGGCACACGTTCTGTGTATAAACGGTTGCTAAAAAATCTAATGTAATAAGAGGGCTCATCAGTATATAAAGGGGTCTTTTCCCCCCAATATGCATTAATTTATAATTTCACTCCAAAAGTGTAAAAGTATTGCATTTAATTACATAGAATTGTTGAAAAGTATTAAAGCGTGCAGCAAAACTAAAAGGTTAGTCGTAGTGAATGTGATGATCAATGCCAGTGTGTTATTGATAATAGTGATAAATAGACTATTAATAGTCTATTATATGTAGCAATATGTATGAATGTAACTTTTATGTAATGTATCTATACCGATGGCTCATTTGGGGTTTGACTGTATCTGTAGTTTGTGTTGTGTTCTAGGGCTCAAGACATTCACCTTAGTCTGGGGACAGATTAACATGTGGCAGGTCTTAATTTCAAATTACTCACTCTACAGTTAAATACAAATGAACTCTAATGAAATAATAAACATATTGAGATCCATGTAACAAGTATGCAAAAGACCAAGTGACACCATATACACACAAGAAAGAAACTTAAATTTAGTACTTCAGAAGATGGAGACAACTTTAAACATCATTTCTTGATTCTATTATTTGTACATGCTAGTGGATTAGTCACATTATTTGATCTCAGAGTGATTATTTTGGGGGATCATTCAAGCTGCTGCTCTGTGTTGAGACCAAACACAGTCTTGTGACCTCATAGCCTTCAGGCCTGGAGTGCCACCTGCTGGTGTCACATCAGAAAAGCAGGCAAAACTGTGAGTTGGACAAATTCACAATTTAAAACACGCTGTAGGATCAGATGTAAGAAATCTAGGTTTATTTTTTACTATTTACTTTTATTCTTTGGCTTCTGGGAAATATATACAAGATAATTTCAGTTCCTAATGTTCTTTTTTTTGCTAAATAGAAAGGTGTGTAATTAGGTGCACCTGTCAGTAAAAGCCTCTTTTCATGCTCATTACACCTTCATACTGCCAATTAGGAGCATGGATGTACCGAAACCTTTTCATGAGTCTCCCATTTCCTCAGTGATATCCATTGTACTCTTCAACTGGCCCACTGCTATTTGAACCCCATATCCAGACCTTTCCCAATTAGACCCACCTTCCACTTTGAGGTTTACTTACTCCAAGACGATGGAGAAAACAGAGTCTTTTAACAAGTGGGCCCCATACTCTTGTTCACATGGGGAAGTTTACCCACATCTGTCTCAGCACCTAACCCCTGGAAGACAAGGGGTCAGTGCCAAAGCCAGAGGTCAGCACTTGTCCCATTGTGAGCTAGAACCAACATGAACCCCAATTGAACACAGCGGTCAGCGGGAAACAGTGCCCGATTGGTTCTTAGGGCCACGGATGTGTGAACTGAACAGGAGTTGAGCTTTGAGGCGGCTTGCTGCACGAAAGCGTTTGAAAGGGACTCTTGCGGTTTCTTAATTAAGTACAGAACAAATAGTTGTCCTGCTTTGTCTCGTCCTTTCTGCATTATCAATGGCATGGACACAAATAGAAAACAAAGATGTGGTTTGAGAATTTCCAGGTGTGCACGGATGCGTGTGAAGCAACTGGGGGGAGTGTCGCCACGTAAAAGATAATACAACAAAATTAAGTTTATATGGCACTCAAGGGGGAGGTCTGCGTGAGAACAGATCTTGTTAGGAGCGTCACAACAGATCTGAAAAAACAGGCGTCCAGGTCAGGCCAGACTTGCTGCAGTGACCCAGCAGTATTCTACCAAATGATAAAAAAAACAGCAGTCTCACTCCCTCTCCCTGTTACTCCTGCATTCTCTTGCTCGCTTTATTTCACTCATATCAGCAAGCCACCATCCATAATTGACCTGATTCCCAGATTTCTGTCCCTCTGACCACCCTTGCCGTAGCATAAAAGTGGGCAGCATAGGTGGCAGAAGACTGCCTGGCTGAAGGAAAAAGGAACGTAAAAGAAAGTATTCTTCTAACGTCTTTGAAAGAAAAAGGGAAATCAGCATAATGACTACCACACATTCAGTCTCTCACGCACACATACACACACTCCTTCCTCATGCATGCCCTCCTCCCACTCCTGTCCACATCCAAATCTTGATTAACCTCCTCTCTCACTCCCCCTTTCCCACCCACTCACATTCACACATACACATGGACACAAAGTGCCTCGGAGGCCCCCTGACAGATGGGGAGAGGGGTTTCGGGGGGTTCCTCTGAACAAATGGCACCCTGGTTTAGTGTGGTGTTGTCAGGGTTTGAATTGATCCCCGGGACTACAGAGGCTTCTCTCTGCCAGTGTGTCACAATGGCAACAAGTGTGTAGAGCTGGGAGCAAGCTTGTACGGGCATGGGACCCATACCTCATGAATGATAGCTTAGCAAATGGCCCTCCTTTCACTGGCTTTCATTGTAGGGCCATCTCTCGTTTTCTTTCATACCCTACTCAAAAAACTTGCCCAGCTTTGTTAGTTTTATTGGGTTTGATTGGTTTGAGATTCTGAAACGTGTTGGTTTTTGTGTGATTTTGTATGTGTGAACTTTGGAGTACAGCGGGGGAGTGTGTGTGTTGGTGGTGTTTGGTGGGTGGGTGGAGGGGTATTTTTGTACATTTTTGCTTGTTAAATTGATGGGTGCTGTGGTCTCACGGTATGCCCAGTCTGTGGAATGATGTAAAGCTATCTGTCATTGACGAAAGCCTGTGAATGTGATTCAGTTTAATATGAATGGCACTTCCTGGGAGGTCGTGATGTTTTTCACTCGGTGAGATAAACACCATGTGTGCAATTTTCACAACGTTCCATAAATTCAACCAGATACACAGGAATGAGACGTTCACACAGTTATAACAGCAATATGTCCTTTGTTAGCTCAGATGCTGCTAAAGACTACCTTAAAG